ATGTTGAAAATGATCTCCCGCTTGTGCTGATTTGACTAGCATATCGTCAATGTCGACATCCATAGTCTTTCCCAGATGTTCTTGAAACATTTAAGTCACCAATCTTTTATTCGTGGCTCCAGCATTTTTTAGACCAAATGGCATGACTTTCTAACAGTAAGTCCCCCTGTCTGTGATAAATGAAGTTTTTTCTTCATCTAAAGGATCCATCTTTATTTGGTTATAACTTGAATATGCATCTAAAAAACTTAATAGCTTATGTCTTGCCGTAAAATCAATTAGTTGATCTATATGCGGCAAAGGAAACGAATCTTTAGGACAAGCTTTATTTAAATCAGTATAATCTACACAAACTCGCCATTTCCCATTCTTTTCTAGAACTACCACAGTAATAGCTAACCAGTTAGGGAATTTCACCTCTCGTATTGACCCAATTTTTAAAAGCTTTTGTACCTCATTTTGGATTACTTTATTTTTGAAGGATCCCTGCTTCCTCTTCTTCTGCTTGACAGGTGAATATGATGGGTCCTTATTCAGTTTGTGGGTCATCACCTCCGGTTGTATACCTATCATATCTGAATGCGACCAAGCAAAGCAATCTGCGTTAGCTTTTAAAATTCAATTAACTTACCTTTCATTTCTGGGCTTAGGTTTGCTCCGATGTAAACTTTTATGTCTGGCCAGTGTATAAATAGCACCACTACTTCGAGTTCTTCGGTAGTTGTCATGATATTTTCGTTTTCTTCTAGCTCTTGAATAACATCGAGTCTTGAATCAACATCAGTTTGTCCTGGAATGCCATCAGTTGAGCTTTGTATTACGACGTCCTCAACTGAATTCTGTAGTTGCTATTTCTCGCCTGCAACATTGTTTACCGTACTTGTAACCACCACTGAATTGATACTTCTAGAAGCCTGTTGATCTTCACGGATTTGCCGAATCCCCCACTGTGAAAGAAATTTAATAACTTGATACAATATGGACGGTACAACATCCATATCGTGAATCCATGGTCTTCCCAGAATTAAATTATAACCCATGTCCGCATCTATCACCTGAAACTTTGTGTCCTTGATAACCCTTCTGCAAACGCGGTAAGCACTACTTCCCCTTTTGTGATAACACTTGAATTATCAAATCCAGACAAAGAATGTGCCTTTGGTATCACCTTGTCGTTATCTTGCATTTCATTCTCCACTCTTAGTAGAATGATATTCACGGAACTACCTGGGTCAATCAAAACTCATTTTACGTTAGTATCGTGTACAAGTAGAGATATTACCAGTCCGTCATTGTGAGGAATCATCAAGCCGTCCGTATCTTCGTCATCAAATGTTATACTGTCTCCATCCAAGACTTGGTGAACTCGCTTCCCATGAGTGACTGTGACTTTTGACGTCTTTTTTGCAGCTGTATGCGTCACACTATTGACCTCGTCTCCCCGTTTATTACATTGACTGTTCTTTTTGGAGACGGGAGTTTTAGGGGTTCTTGTCTGTTCTTCATATATGATTGTCTACCTTTCTCGCCGAACAGGTCAGTTAGATAACCTTGTTTCAACAAATGCTCGACTTCTCCCTGCAGTAACCTACAATTTGTTGTTCTATGGCCATGATCGTTGTGAAATTCAAACCAGAAATCTGGATTTCTTTTGCTCGGGTCTGATCTCATCTCTTTAGGCCATCTCACCTTATCTCCCATACCTCGTAAAATAGCCACTAACTCGGAGGTGCTGATATTAAAACTGTAATCACCGACTCTGGCAGGTGTATTGAAGAGGTTGCCTCGTGCATCCCGTTCCTTTCTGAATCTAGATGAAGAACCCGCATCTTTTTGCCTTGATCTTGATTCAGATTGTGTGTTTTCTTGCTTACACCGAGAATCTCGCCTTGCAGGTCCCATGTAAGGCTCATACCTATTTTTCCCGGTCCTTCTTTCTGATTCTGAATGTCTCGATCCTGCTCTTTCATCAACCTTTGGCTGTGCAACCGTATCTTCTTCTATCCGCAGCTTCGTGCTGTACCAGGTGTACACGTCATTCCAAGTTGTTACTAAAAATTCTCGCAAAATTTCCTTCATTCTTCTCGTGGCTTCTGAACTTTTCTCGTTTAGATTGCTTGCGAATGCCATAGCTGCCCATTTGTCAGGTACTCGTGGTAACATCATCCTCTCCCGTTGAAATCTATCCAAAAACTCCTTGAGTAATTCCGTATTTCCTTGTTTTACCTTAAATATGCCTTTCATCTTGTTTTTCAACTTTTTGAGCTCCCGAATGTGCTTTTATGAATGAATCTTCAAGCTCAGCAAAAGAATTAATAGAGTTATCAGGTAAAAGAGAATACCACGTTAATGCTCCTTTCGTGAGTGTTTCACCAAATTTTTTAACCAAAATTGATTCGATTTCTTGCTTGGTTAAATCATTTCCCTTCACGCTAGTTGTGAAAGCAGTTACGTGATCTCGAGGGTCAATTGTTCCATCATATTTAGGAATATCAGGGATTTTAAACTTTTTAGGAATCGACAAAGGTGCTGCACTTGGCTTCCAGGGGTGTTGTGAATATTTATCAATATCTACCCCTTTAATCACGCCCGTTACGCCAGGTATTTGCTCTATGCGATCATTTTGCTCTTTCAACCGTTTCTGCAAAGTTAGTACCAAACTTTGTAAATCAAAATTATTTGGTGTACCTGACCTACCATCACGAGATTCATTGGGAGTTCCTCAACTTCCAAAATTGTCGAGCCCAGAGCGTGGGTTTTCTAGGGTTGTGGTATTGACTGGTGGAGTAGTTTGTGGCGTAGTTGGCCATCCCCTAACAAAGGCTTGAAGAGCACTATTCACGTGTTCTGCAATCAATTGCTTTAGAGCGTCTTGTTCGACAGCTTGCTGATCATTAGCGTGTGATGCAGATCTTTTAGGTGATCCATCACGAGACTGTTGAGGAGATCCTTGCGGAGAGAGGAGAGGTGGAGTTGCTCCCTCCTGTGGGTTCAGCTGGTAGTTATCGTTAACAGTCGACATAGTTGTTTGTCAGAAAAAGAATTTTGAAAGTGAAACGATTATCAGATTCCCAGTAACAGAACCAATTTGTTTAACCGAAAAATAAAGTTTTGGTCAAAGCTTATATTTAGAAGAAAACGGGTTACTGATAACCAAGTTTTACTCCACTTTCACAACAGGCTATTTTCAAAATAGTGAAAATCATAGAGGGGATTAACAAAAAGAAATAAGGGATAAATCAATAATCAATCCCTAAAATCAAGGTTGTAAAGTAGAGAATTATAGGATGTATCTCACTAGTACTTGGAACCTCTGTTTTAAAAGGTAGAATTGGGACTCGCCCGGGGCTCGCCCCGGGGCGGAGCACTCGTAAAACGCCCCTGGGCTTATGTGTGGGGCTTAGTTCCGTGAGACTTACGCCTCGGCCATCGGGGCTTACGCCCCGGACACGCCCAACGCCTAGCGTACTGGGCTCGCCTAATAGAACTTTATGCAATTGTTTGTAACTAACCTTGTAAATCCTCAAATTTTCTTAATAAATCGTTGACTATTCAAAATTATTTTTTTCTTAATCATAAATCATTAAGTTGAGAGTATTTTATGTCATAATTAAAATAAAAAATATTGCATGTTATCCGCTAAGACTGCTATGATAGTTAATTTTAAATATATTTTTCATTTAAAAAGTATTTATTTATTAACTTTTGTTATGTCTTTACTATATAATAGTCCATAATTTTTTATATAATTATTTTTCTAAATATTTTTTTCATGTTTACGAGATACAATACTTATTAATTTAATAGCTCAGTATTAACTAGTAACTATTTACAATTTGTTATCATGGTATTGTATGGTAAATTATGTGTCACTTTATTAACTTGTTGAAATTTAAAAATAAATGATGCTAGAGAATCATATTTAAATTGTCAATTATGTTTTTATATAAATTCTCTTTCAAATAGGAAGCATATTAAATAAAAAGAGTATTTTAAGAAAAATATCAAATTATAATATTGAAATTCTTTTAAGATTCATTACTCCTTAAGAGATACATATAAGATTTCGTATCGAATACATTGCTTTTGATGTTTGAGTTATAACAACGTTGCAGCTGATTGGCATTTTATGATATATGTCATACTTTATGTATTATTCATAGTTGAGTTATAATTTATAAATATTTCAAATAGATTATTTGTTATAATTTTGTGATTTTAATGTAATTTTTATAATTATTTTTTTATTTTAAACTATCTTACAATTCTTGAAATTAGTAAAATGTAATGATCCGTGGGACTTACGCCCAGTGTCTCAGGGCTTACGCCTCGCCTCACGCCCCCGCCTTTTAAAACATTGCTTGGAACTTATCCTTACAAATAAAATTTTGTATCCTTATATAGGAGTGTACAATCATATCGATTTTCTCACATAATCTGAATTCATTATGGGCATTAATTGTATTGATTGCCCATTACCACTAATAATTGTAACTGGCATATTTTATTGATATAAATGCTTTATAACTGCTCCGATTCTTCTTCCTTATTTACTTCTGGTTCATGTATCTTCACTTCTTTTTGATTCTTATTCATTCCGTCCTCGCCTCTTCTTTGACAACTGTCAGGCCCGATTTTCTTCTCTATGCTGCTGTCTCGTGGGTGTTTCTCCCGTGCCTTTCTCGTATTCTTAATTCTATTAATTAAGACTGCGAGTTGTCGCTATATCACTACTCCACGGGTCATATTTTATTAGCATACTAACATTTCACGTGTAATGACTTTTTTCTTTTACACCAATACACTATTATTTCCTTATTTTTTTTGGTTTAGCTGGAATTAACGAAGATCATTAAAAGAATTTCTTCAGTTGCTCAACCTCGTAAAAAAATCAGAAGGATTTACTACAAGCTGTGAAATGCTAAGGCTCTATCTTAATATATCAACCAAAAAAACAAAAACTTGAGCCGATCAATGCTCATCCGCAGCCTATTCTTTTACTAAAAAGAAGTAAAAGTAAAGATTCTTTGTCCTGGTGATAGAATCATCTTAGGATCAAACTGGATCTTCCTTTGTTGGAAAGTGTTCCACTTTTCATCAAAATGTTTCATCCAATCCTCCTTGGTTTTGTAATGTGGAAGGTACTGCTTGATCTTGAGGCCCTTTTTATTACAATTCATTAGGATTTTATCATTTAGGCTATCCAAAACCTCCCAGTCATCGAACCCACTAGAATACAGTAGCCCCACACAATAGAATATATCCTCTTCTGGTATCACTGCTGACATTCTTTCATCCCACCTGCCAATTAAGTAACAGTTTCACTTCTCTACATTAAAAATGTAATTTTATACTATTATTATTAGGCCACTTACAAATAATTATAAGTAAATGTTTATAAAATTTAGATTAGTAACTTCATAAATAAGACAGGTTGCTTGCTACAAAATTTTAAAGAAAAGGGGCAGAATGCGTTCACGTAATCGCACCCTAGAGAGTGTAATGTAGTACTGATGCACGCATCACCACTGATTGACGAACCTGTGACCTATATGTCACACACAAATAACTTTACCGTTGTTCCAAAGCGTATCCGGCCGCTTCTTGCTACAACACGTTAAAATATCTAATAGTGTAAAAGCTCTTTACACTAGGTAGGATTGTTTATATTTTGTAAAGGAAGGTATAGAAGTGATCAGTACTTTTTCCTGCTTGTTGGGTAGACAAGGATGGGTCCAGTGGCCTTGTTTTGTCTAAGAATGATGTCCACAAAGACACCAACATTGAAATCCATGATAGTGGACTTTGGTACAAAAAGATTGAACCATGGATGAGGAACATCCCATAGACCTTTTGATTGCAGCTCTACCTCCCCACTTCTAACTCTATTCAGAAAATCCATAAAGGTTGCATCTCTTGTGAACATGAATCCAGGTATAAATTTCAACCCTTCAAGTAATTTCTGCATTTCCTGCATAAAACATTAATAATTTCACTCTTGATATTTTAGATTGTGTATTTTCAGTGTAGCTACAATAGCAATATATTAATACCTCATCAATTGTGTTAGCACTTTGATCATCATAGTACTTGACCATTTCTAAGCAATAGATAATGTCATTTTTTGACAACAAGGAAGCTATTTTGGTTTGATTAGAAGGTGAGAAAAAGGATGATCTCCAGTTATTTGGAGGACTTTGATTCATCATGAGAGATCCTTCTACGTAGTCCAGGCCTTCAATTGAGATGAGATGTTCTTGGTCTCTTGTGAATTTAGAGAAATCAGAATACAGAATTCTCACCCATTTCACCTACATTACAACAAAGGAAAAATCATGATTATAACTTCTCTGCACCTAAATCAAAATGAAAAATATATATTATAGTACTAACATAGAAAATCTATAATTGAAGAAGCATATATATACACACTTACTCTAGTTGGTGCTTTCTCTAAGACAATTCTTGCCCTGGTTATGATTCCAAACTGCCCTAGACCTCCTAAAACTGCAAAAAACAGTTCTGGATTCGTGTGTTTGGAACAAGTCACAAATTCTCCTTTACCTGATAAACCAAAGAAGACACAAAAGTTGAATTATTCCATGAATAAATATTAAATAACATTACTTCTATGCAATAATAGACTCTTCCTAAATTCTGTGATTTAAAGAAACTGTTGCATTGGCCAGGCACTGGATATGTACTTATCACATGCAACTAAATGTATACTACATTTGAAATAAGGTGATCCTACCAGGTAAAAAAGCTGAAGTTTCTCCAAAGACATATATCCAATAAATGCAGAAAGGTAGATACAGCGAAAAAAAAGGAGTGATTAGTGTATCTACTACACTTCTGCTAAAAAAACCTCACATGGTGGTCCCCAAATATAACATGCTTCTAACTTAATCACATTTTTGCAAGAGATTCCATTTCGTAACCAGCTACATACAATACTTTCCATGGAACTTATCTGGAAAAAAAAAAAAAAAAAAGAATGATGGAAAATTTATAGAAAAAAATATTATTGCAAAATTTAACTTGTAAACCTTAATTTTAAAGACTTTTTTTGGTATGGATGATGTAAAGAATTTTTTTATCACTATGAGGCCATAACATAAGAGATAATTATATGTTACCGCCTATAATGAGTTTGAATCAATTACATACGTAAAATTTAAAATAAGTGATAAGTTAAAATAAGTAAGCATGCACTAATATGTCAGTGTATATAAGTTAAATCCTATTTATAAAATTCAACTTATATATATTAGTAGTATAAAAATAATTTGCACTATCAGATCATTTGTAGATCACTTTTATCTGTTATATCAGATAAGCTGTCTTATTTTCAAGATTACAAATCCCATTTTTTATTGAATATTACCTACAAAATTCTTTTAGAATGCCTCAAAGTATGAATAATTTGTTTACACTGTCCATGTATATATGTTAAACCATAAATGAAACATACGACATATATCTGTATCTGGCTACCTGTAATAACATCCATCTCATGAACGTTACTAATTTGAGGACCATAACGAAAAGTTTGGCCACTGATTCCAGCATTAGATAGAGTTCCACCAACAGTGAGGTACAGATAATCAGTCCACGAGACAGGAGCAAGTCCATGCACAAGTGTGGCATTCAAAACATCAATCCAAAGCTGCTCACCTCCAACATCTGCATAAAACCCTAACGAAGCATCCCAACTAACCCTAATTCCAGTTCTGTAGTTATTCTTTAAAGAATTCATATCCACGACAACCCCATTTCGCGCCATGGCCTGGCCCCTCACTGAGTGGCCATGGCCTCTCGCCGTGATGGTAAAAGGGATATGTGTATTATAGGATAACTTGATGAGATCGAGTATATCCTTAATGGTGGATGGATAAAGAACTGCAGCTGGTTTTTCTTTAATAATATTTCCAAAATCAGTGGAAGCTGCCTCTATGGCATCTGAGTCAGTACTAAGCCTAGCTGCAATATCAAGGGAAAGAAGTTCATGAGGAATACTTGAAGCGTTCCAATAATTCTTCAACTTCCCTATTATGGACATTAAATGACTCATGATGAAAAATAAAATGAAGTAGCCTGGGGCAAAAAACTTTGCCATTTTAAATGTGGTAAAATTAAAGAAACACATATAATATAATGTAGAAATAGGAGAAAGAGTGTTGAAATTACGAAGATGATTTCGGTGAAGCAAAGAGAGATATGGTATGAGGATATATATAAGAGGAAAAAATGAATGAAAACGAGGAACACATCTTTGACAAAAGTACAGTGGTCAGAAAATCTTGGAAAAATATGGAGTAAATGGGGAAGAATTTTTTATTTTTTTCAAGATACGAAAATGATACACTTTTCTGATGCTTTTGTGCCTTTATTTTTCGAATGTCTTGTCTTTCTCATGGAACGGCGATTATCATTAGATACACCCAAAGATTCGCATAGCCAGCCGTTAGTTTTCTTCTTTCTTGTAGGCTTTATGTATATATTTGTGTTATATTTGACAAGACCAAAGCACATTATATTTGGCCTTAGCTATCTACTTAGATATAATGGTCTTTGGTTATATTTTTGTTTGTTTTCTAATTAAGGAATGGACGATGGCCATAATTAGGTACACACGAAAAATATTTTGAAAAAAGGTCCTTTCTAGATTTGATGTGATTCTCCTGTACCTTTGATCAGTTAATAGGAGAATAATGTGAAAACAGCATTTGATACGATTCTCCTTCGTATCTATGAGTTAATTATCACTGTGAATATACCGGAAAGTCAGAAGAAAATTTTAGATTTTCTTCATCATTCAAAGATCTTGTTTTTGTAGGTATTTGAGGTAACATCATAATATGAAAAGTCAAGTTCCATGTATAATTACAAGCCTTGTCTTGTCCTCTTCAGTATGTTTAATCACTTTCAACCGTCAATATATATCTTGCTTTCTTAGTTAGTTTCATTTTAGTTATGCAAAGTTGTAGATTTTCACACTATTTGGGAATCAAATTCATGGTATGGGCTATCTAACAAAGAGTGACATCAATTGTAGTCTTGTGCAAGAGTAGCAAACAAACTAACGGAACGATATGAAAATTGATATTTCAAAGGATCTATATTTGTAAAATTAACGCAATTGTTTTTGTAATTTTTCTTGTTGGCCCAAGTGAAGTTTGTTTTGAAGATTGACAAAGAAACTCAAGCATGAACCAGGTTCATTTCTTGTGTACACAAACACGGGTAAATTCGAGCATAAGGGATGCACGTGAAGGAGATAAGCTTAACTTGATTTGTCTGATATCTCCTGATCGAAAAGGTTGCATAATTGATAAGGAGAAGAACTCCGTACTCAAAGAGAACACTGTCCATGATAAGGAAGGAGTTAGAGGTTGAAGTTAACTAGAACTCTTCCACCAAGGAAGAGTAGCATTAGAACTCTAGTTATTTCTTAATCTACTAACTCTATATATTGCATAATGTTCTCATTTTACAGGTACACACAAACGTTGAAGTTAAACGTGAGTTGAGAGCAAAATAGCAAGGCATTTTGCAAGCAATTCTTGTGTGATTCAAGTGTGCGAACCTGAAGCTACATGAACCAGATAGAAGATCCAGTTCCAAGTGTCTGTCTTTTATTCTAGTTCAATTGTAGTAGGTGTTTTCATATTGTACCTTTCAGCTTTATCTAGAAGCAATTGTAATAGGTACTTTGAGTATTCAAGTTATAGTTAATTTGAAGTTATCACAACACTTAGAGGCTGGTTGCCACAACGGGATTAGAGTTAATCCTTAGGTTTACAAAGTATTTTGTAAATGCTGTTTTGGCTCAGTGATTTAGTGAAGTGTTGGGGAAAATCCTACTGAGTAGTAGGTCGTGGTTTTTTCACCTTTTGAGCCAGGTGTTATCCACGTAAAAATACTTATGTTCTTTACTTTCCGCATTTACTATTTCAGCAACATTAGGTTAAGGAACACTTAGAAGAACCGGGTCCTTCTATAATTAGTGCACGCGAAAAATTGGACACCACACACATTTTTGTGTGGTATTGAAGTAAAAAATATCATTCCTACTTGCTATGTACAGTCCATATGATACGTCGTGATTTAACATGATAGTGGGTGATCATTGATACTCTCGTAATTCTGGTAAAAAACAAAAATTAAAGTTAGAATTCAAGCAATAAGATATTGAGTTCTTGACAATAAGGTCTCCTTTACCAAAGTGGACTCTATTTGACTGCGGCTGAACATGAATATAAGAATATAAAGAATTGTAGTGCTGCTTTACAGATGCCATTGAGGTTTTAGTCCTATTTCAAATTGCTTAGATTATAAGTTGAATGTTAACAATTTGACCTAAATTAGGAATTTTACCGAGCATCTAGCCCCCACCCAATAGGCAATAGCTAACGTCCACTCCATGCCTCCACGCATTTTCTTAGTCTATAATATATTTTAATGTGTAGCTCATGACTTCAATTAAAATGGTTGAAAGTGTTTCAAGAAAGAGATGAATTGTTTGTTTTATTAAGCATCATCATCGCTTTCATCTTGTCTGAACTCAGTGATCGTTAGTTGTTTTGATGTAATTTAATTCTTTCATTAAAGTGGTCTTCATCCAAAGCAAAAAGAGGGAAAAGATGTAAGTTAATTCTTCATTAAAGTGGTCTGTATTTACTGCACTGTGTGAGCACCTAATTTTTAACCATATTTAAATTTTTTACCACCTTTTAGTATGTTAATAATTTTAAGTTTGATCATCATATTTAAGTTTTTCTAGTTGTTTTTGGAGAATTCATTCCCTGAGAGAGGAGATGCGCAGTCAGTTTGAGCATTTTCAGTAGGGTAGCATGACCGCCACTCAGTATGAGACAAGATTTGTCGATTTATCTGGCCATGCATCTATCCTGATCCTTACTGAGAGGGAGAAGGTATGGAGGTTCATAGAGGGTCTTACATAGCTAAGTATGCCTCGTGATTCTCTTGATGTTCCTATTTCGGTGTCTACACCCATTTGCGATTCCAAAGTAGTTAATTAGGTGTACCGGTCTTGTGTTGTCACTATTAATGATTTTGATATTATAGTTGATCTTTTGTTGTTGAATATGGTGGATTTTGAGGTCATTCTTTGTATGCATTGGATTGTCATGCCAAGATTATGACGTTGGCTATGCTGGGGTTGCCTAGATTAGAGTAGAAAGGGACCCTCAGTCACTTGACTAGCAGGGTATGTAGTTTCGTATTTGAAGGCTCAGCATATGTTTGATAATGGATGTCTAGCGTATTTGGCTTACAATCGAGATTCTAGTGTGGAGGTTCCTCTTATAGATTCGGTACCGACTGTGAGGGGGTTTCTTGAGGTATTTCCTACATATTTTTTGGGTATATGGCTCGATAGGATGTTGACTTTTGCAATGATTCGGTTCAAGGCACTCAACCTATTTCTATTCCACCGTAACGTATGGCTCCAGCTGAGTTGAAGAAATCGAAAATTCAGTTGCAGGAATTTCTTGACAAGGGATCCATTAGACCAAGTGTCTCACCCTTGGGTATGCAATGTTATTTGTTAAGAAGAAAGTCGAGCCGATGGGGATGTGCATTGATTATCAATAGTTGAACTAGGTCACTATCAACAACAAATATCTATTTCTTAGGATTGATGATTAATTTGACCAGCTTAAGGGTGCCAAGGTGTTTTCCAAGATTGATGTGAGATATGGCTAAGTGTCTTCCACAACTACTCAGCTCCAAAATTTGCACGCAAGGTGCAGAAGTGTAGTATGAGTATAATCGTCCCCATGTACTTAGAAAGTATCTTGACTAACCTTACAGAAGTAGTGACGAGGTTTTTAAGTCAAAAGATACTCACTTTGCACAACCTATGTAGCTCAATAACATGTATAACACAGAGAAAATATTCTAGAAAGACAATTACGGAATAAAGAATATCAACCGTAAAGGTTCCCAACATGATCCAATTCTGTATCAATTGCCAAATAACATGTTCAAGAGAAACACTCGAAAATCAAATATATCAATGCGTGATGACAACTTCCTTCTTACATCAATCCATTACGCTACCAACAACTCAACAAAACATGGGCTATCAACTCAACCTAGGTAATTCCATATTGACAACCAAATTGTCAAATAATATTAGAGGCATAGATTAACATTTTAGATGCCACGTAAAACACATGTACAATGCACGACAATTCACAAAGAATTCACTTGCATAATCAAGGTAACACCCAATTTTTAACAACAAGTTGTCAAAAAGTAACACAAACATATGGCACCTCGTGCCCATATTTTTGTCATAATAACAATATCCACCCTTACCGCTCCGCCCTGACACAAAAAATAATATCCAACTGTATCGCTTTGCCCTGATACAATCACAATATCCAACCACATCGCTCCACCCTGACACAAACACAATATCAAGCCTTATCGCTCTAGCCTGACAAAATTAGAATATCCATTGCATCGCTCTGCCCTGATAAAACACAATATCCAACCGTATTGCTCCGCCCTAACAAAATCACAATATCCAATCGTATCGCTCTACCCTAAGAAAATCACAATATCCAACTATATTGCTCTGCCCTGACAAAATCATAATAATCATAATTGCATGGCAAAAACCTCATGCCATCATCCCAATCAATCAGCCCAACATGTGCACACGTGCCAAAATCACAACAATGCAAGATAACAAATCATTATCAAAAGACATATCCTCATAACTCATCAATAAAGTGCAGAAGGACATAGTAACAACAAAAATGCGGATGGGATTCAAAATATAAAATATGACTACGACCAAATCAAATGTAACAACCAAGTTTAAGTAGTCATACAAGGGATTAAATATGTGTCACAGAGTGCACACGTCCCAATCCAGGCACACCACAAGAACAAGTACGGATATGTGTTTGCAAGATACGTGTATCTGCCTCCGAGGCAAGTTTAGCATAAATCTCAAGATTAGTTCATCATTTTCAAACTAAGACACCAATATCCTTAATGTTAGCTCTAGTCTGATTTATAATGCTCACGTAGTCAATTAATAGCATAACACATAGGATCAAGTAGAACAAGCAACCAAAT